AAGAAGAGTATAAAAGCGTCCAGGAAAATGAGCCTTAGTAAAGAGGTCTATTGGTTGATCAATGAAGCTAATGAAAACCAAATGAACAGTTCCTTGTGCAACAGGAAAGTGACAATCAACTTCAATATGTTTAGTGCATTCATGGAAGACATCATTATGAGCAATCTGTATAGCACTTTGATTATCACAATATAAATCAGTAGAAGAAGGTTGAGGAATACCCACATCTTCAAGAAGCCACCATAATGAAAGAAGTTTTGATGTGATACCATCGAGAGCTCTATACTCAGCTTCAGTATTAGAGCAAGATGGAATAGTTTGTTTCTTACTCCACCAAGAGATAAGAGAATTACCAAGGAAAAGACAATAACCAGTGGTAGATATATAATCAGAAGGATCACTACCCAATTAGCATAAGAGTAAGTGCAAAGCACAGGGGATGAGTTGGCAGAACAATGGAGTCCATGAAACAATGTTCCCTTAACATAGCAAATAATGTGAAGTACTATTGCATAATGAGTGGAGCGAGAAGCAACCATACATTGACTAACAATGTGAACTACATATGCTATGTCAAGGTGTGTTGTGGTAAGATAAACTAGACTACCAACCAATTGCCGATAACGAGTAGGATCAGAAAGTGAAGAGCCATCCATAGGTGTAAGCATGACATTAGGTTCACGACATGTAGAAACACTCTTACCATCATTGAGTTCAACTTTAGAAACAAGATCAGAGGCATACTTAAGAAAGTAGGTAGCCATCATTTGAAAAAGTGACTTCAAGCCTCAAAAAATAGCTTAGAACACCAAGATCTTTCATCTCAAATTTCTGATGAGAGATTGTTTTAGCTCTTCAACACATACAAGATCATCTCCAGTAATAATCATGTCGTCAACAAAAAGAAGTAAAAGAACCATACCTTGAGCAGTCTTACAAATGAATAGAGCTGTATCATGTGGACTGGAAGTAAAACCAAACTCACTTACAGTAACACTAAACTTTACATACAAAGTTCAAGGGGATTGCTTCAACTCGTATAATACACATCGTAATTGGCATACCTTGTTTGGAGGATGGTTGAGCCCAGGTGTTGGTTTCATATAAACGTCTTCTTCTAGGTCACCATTAAGAAAAAAATTTTTCACATCCATCTGAAACAATTTTCATCTCCATATAGCAGTAATAATATGCAAACTACACACAAATGTGAGACAAGCAACTAGAGAAAATGTTTCCTCATAGTCTATTCCATACTCCTATGTAAAATCCTTGGCAACCAAGCATGCCTTATAATGCTCCACAGAACCATCAGATCATGTCTTGATCCTATACACCCATTTACAACCTATTAAAGACTTTTCAGTAGGGAGATAAACTAAATCTCATGTACGAGTGTTCTTAAAAGCTTGTAATTCATCTTGTATAGCTTGTTACCAAAGAAAGTTAAAAGAGGCCTCTTGATAAGATTGAGGCTCATGTAAAAAAGTAATAGTAGGAAAACAATGATAATCACGAAGGTAGCTAGGAGGGTTTCTTACTTGAGTAGGATGACTCAAGGATGGGACAACAAGCTCATTTGCATACTCAACAACGTCAAATGCAACATCAACAAGTGATACAGAGGAGGAAGTAGAAGAAGGTTCAGAATTATCTAATACATTACCAATAAACAAATCATCTTCTACAGAACTAGTTGGAGCATGTGGTGAGGCATTGTAGAGCTCATCAGATGTACGTGCATCAGAATCACTAGGAAATAGCTCAATGGAAGGATTAGTAAAAAATGGAGGTTGATGAGAGGATGACACTTTGAAGTTGACAACGATGAGAACATAGTGTGTTCCCAAAAGAGAACATGATGTGAAACTTGGAGTTTTTGTGATATAAGATCCCATAACCCAAAAAACAACATAATCGAGCTTTAGGCTCTAACTTGTTATGTTCATGAGGTGAAAGAATAACAAAACATGCACAACCACCAACCTTAAAGAGATTATAGGTAGGAAGAATGCCATGTAAACGCTCGTATGGAGATTGGTTATTAAGGACTGATGGAATGCGATTAATAAGATAAACTGTTATAAGAGTAGCTTCACCCCAAAATCGCTTTGGACAAGAAGATGAAATGAGCAGAGCACGAATAGAATCAAGGATGTGTCTGTGTTTGCGTTTGGCTCACCCATTTTGTTCAAAAGTGTAAGGACAAAATTGTTGTGTCAGTGTACCCTGTTCTTTTAAAAAGGATTGAAGTTTAGTACCAAGATATTCAGTAGTATTGTCAGTTTTCAAAACTTTGATAATTTTAGAGAACTGATTTTTTACCATGGTAGTAAAATCAATATAAATTTGTAATAATTTAAAGCGATTTTTCATAAGGTATATCCAGGTAAAACAAGTATGATCATCAATAAATAGCACGAAGTGCCTAGAACCCCCCATGGTGGGTGTAGGAGATGAACCCCAAACATCAAAATGCACAAGATCAAAAGGAGTAGTAGAATGAGAATGACTACTCGATAAAGATAAAGCTAGTTACTTTGCAGATTGACATGACACATAATGCAATGATTCATTCGAAATTGATCCCAATAAACCACGAGAGATAAGTGGACAAAGTTTACCAACTAAGGTATGTTCGAGCCGTGAGTGCCACAAATGGAAAGGTGAAAGATTGGTAGCAGCACAGGCTTGCAAAATTTGTTGGTATAGAATTTGTAAAGATTCTAATTCAACAGCATAGAGCAAGGTTTGGATGAAGTGATCAATTGGAAATTGTGCATGTGGGCTTAACATAAGGCTTGCATCCAACCTAAAACCAATTGGCAATAGGTGGAGTAGTCTTCCTTGTATTTAACCCTTAAGCTTCTTACTTTTATACTTGATGTGGGATTTTCCCACTCAACACCCCCTCTCATGTGCAAGCTCATTATGAATGTTGGGTCCTGTCATGTGGCTTAACACACCTCCTTACATATAGACCTAGTGTCAATTTCAAGTCTTCTTTGGTGGGCTAACAATGAGCTTCCAGGACAAAATCTGGGCCTTGATACCATGTTAGAAATAGACAAGGAGAAGAAATACTGAAGAAAGGTTTATGGTTTTCTTGAATAATACTGTATGCACAATAACTTATATATATGTATTTACAAAGAGAATATTCTAAAGTATAAAGTATACAAAGAGAATATTTTAAAATATAAAATATTTATAATAATTATGAATATAATCTAAATAATTGTGTTCACATC